CTTTGCTAACCTGTTGTCTATCTCTTCGTCAATCTTACCATCCAAGGAGATGAGACTGCCTAGGTAATTAAACTGCTGGACTGATTTGAGCTCTGATTGGCCAATGGTGATATGGGGATGATGGAAGACTTCCTGAGGTGCCGGTTGATAGAAGATTTCTGTTTTCTTTAAGCTGACTTCCAGCCCAAAGAGCTCAGCAGCCTCAGCAAAGCAGGATGTTAAACGCTGCAGAGCTGCTTCTGTGTGAGTAACGAGGGCGGCGTCATCAGCATAAAGCAGCTCCTGGACCAGACGGTTTAAGGTCTTGGTGTGGGCCTTCAGTTGCCTTAGGTTGAAAAGGCTTCCATCAGTACGATCTCAAATGTAGATACCGTCCTGATCATCGAGGTCTGCCGTGGCCCTTTGGAGCATCCTGCTGAAAAAGACTGTGAATAGGGTTGGTGTGAGAACGCAGCCTTGTTTCACACCATTGGTTATTAGAAAGGGCTCAGAAAGTGCATTGCCATATCTGACTTGGCCGTGCTGATCCTCATGGAGTGAGATGATCATTTTAAGGAACTTGGGGGGACATCCTAAACGTTCCAAAATCTGCCACAGACCTTTCCTGCTCACAGTATCGAAAGCCTTGGTGAGATCAACAAAGGTTACATAGAGACCTTTATTCTGTTCCCTACGCTTCTCTTGCAGTTGTCTGAGAACAAATACCATGTCTGTGGTACTCCTGTTGGCTCTGAAACCACACTGGCTTTCAGGTAGAATTCTTGTCAGGATTTTGCCAGCAATGGAGAGCAGAGTAATACCACAGTAATTTGAACAGTCTGATTTAACTCCTTTCTTCTTGTACAATGTGATGATGACTGCATCACCAAGGTCTGATGGTAGTTCGCCTAGTTCCCAACAGCACACCACAAACTCGTGGAATTTAGCATGGAGTGCAAGGCCCCCATGTTTCCAGACTTCGGGTGGAATTCCATCAACCCCAGCTGCCTTGCCGATTTTCACTTGCTGTATGGCCTTAAGGGTTTCTCCTAAAGTGGGGGCAGTATCCAATTCATACTTCACCGGTTGTTGTGTGATGGACTGAGTAGCTGAGTCTTGGACTACACAGCTAGTACTGAAAAGAGTCTGAAAGTGTTCAGACCATCGATTCAGAATGGAGGTTTTATCTCTCAGAAGTGTTTGACCATCAGCGCTGAGTAGAGGACTTTGGGCTTGGTATGTAGGCCTGTATGCGGTTTCAGGGCTTCATAGAATCCTCTGTGATCACCCGTGTCTGCGCATAATTGTGTTTTTTTCAGCAAGATTGATCCACCACTTGTTCTGGATGTCACAGAGTTTCTGTTGGAGCTTGCTGCATGCAAGGCGAAAGGCTGCTTTTCTTATGTGCCACGATGGCAGTGCAAGGTGTGCTTGTGGGCGGTTCTCTTCTTCCTCAGCAAGTCCTGGATCTCTTGATTGTTTTCATTGAACCAGTCCTTGTTCTTCTTGAGGGAGAACCCTAAAAATTCTTCAGAGGACTGCAGGATGCTGTTTTTAATATGGTGCCAGAGTGTTTCAGGAGAGGGATCTAAAGAATCTATAGAATGATTTTCAAGCCTAGTTTGAAGTTTGCCTGGAATTTGTTTCTCACTGTGGCTGATTGGAGATTGTTAACTTGGAGTCTCCTCCTTGGGATACTGCCCCTTTTAGGTTTGAATTTAAGATTGAGGTTAAGTTTGTAGTGCACCAGCCGATGGTCTGTTTGGCATTCTGCACTGGGTATCACACGGGTGTGGTGGACTTCGCGGACATCCCTCCGACGCACCAAGACATAATTGACGAGGTGCCAATGTTTGGATCTGGGATGCATCCAGGTTGTCTTCAGACTATTTTTCTGCTGAAAGATAGTGTTAGTGATGGTGAGCTGTTGCTCCGCACAGAATTCTAGCAGAAGTCGACCATTATCATTGCAGCTTCCAACACCACGCTTGCCTAATATTCCTTTCCAGGCTTCAAAATTCTTTCCTACTCTGGCGTTGAAATCACCAAGGATAATGATCTTATCATCTGCAGGAACCTCCTGGGTAAGGCGGCGCAGGTCACTGTAAAATTTATCTTTTTCAGCAGGGTCAGCTTGGAGAGTTGGGGCGTATATACTAAAGAGGACAACGTGTTGCTTGTTGTGTAGTGGAAGATGTAGGGAGATAATTTGGTCAGAATGTTCTGTTGGCAGATTTTCAAGTTTAGGAACAATAGAGTTTTTGATCATGAAGATGACTCCTGAGAGATGCCTTTCGGTTCTGGGCTTACCTGACCGAAAGAGTGTGTAACCGGCACCATGTTCTCTGAGGCTGCCTTCCTCGTGAAGGCGAACTTCGCTAAGAGCAGCAGTGTCGATGTTGAGACGTGATAGTTCGTGAGCGATTAGGGCAGAGCAACACTCAGGGCAACCACTATTTGCAGAATCAAACATGGTTCTGATGTTCCAGCATGCGAGAGTCAGTTTGGTTACACCTTTGGAGGCAGGTGTATGCCTTTGGGCTCAGTGTTCAAACAGATCAGAAAAAGCAGAGTATGGGAAAAGTAAGGATTATCATCCTTATTTTAGGGACTGAGATTGAAAGCCAGAGGAGTGACCTGGCACAATTACAGAGGTAGACTCTCTAGAAGTGGGAATTGAATATTCAGCCCCAGTTTTGGGCTTTAGCTACAACACTGACCTTCTCTAACAGTTCCCCAGTAAAGCCCCACAAGACTCCACACAGGCTGCTATGCCTGATAACCCCCAAAGACTACCAGCAACCATTATGTCTTTATTTTCCTTCTTCCCTTGAGCACAGGTATTGGGTTTGTGCTGAAGTGGTGGAAAACAGGTAAGAGTTCCATGTCCATCCTCCTATACTGTCGCAGCTTCAACACTGGAGTAATTACAGGAGTAGGGATAATCCAAGCCCGCAGGAGAGTTGCAGGAGGAAGGAGAGGTAGCAGTCAGGTTTGGGCACTAATCTTCTCCAAAACCCCTGTTCTTGCAAAGGGACCAAACTGCTCAGCAGCGATCAATGGCTCTTCTCCTACCTGGACTGAATGGACTCGGCTCAGCCTGATGTCTGACCTCCAACCACAGCATGACACTGGCCAGGTTGCATGGAAGAGACCAGCTTTCCAACTGCTTTTACTGGTCATTCAAAGCTCAATAGCAATGGGAGCACTCAAAACAGCAGGATGAAAATTCAAAACCCTTCAACAAAGAGGAGGAGCTGGAAGCCACTGCACAGCAAGAAAACTATGACATAACTGCCCTCATGGAGGCATGGTGGGATGACTGGCACAGCTGGAGTGCTGCAATGAATGGCTGAAAACTCTTCATAAGGGACAGGCAGGGAAGGAGAGGCACTGGGGTGGCCCCGTGTGTGAGGAGCCTGGAGCAGAATGGTGGTCACGACAGGGTTGAGTGTGTGTGAGTAAGGAACAGGGGGAAGGCCAACAAGGCAGATTATCCTGGTGGGAGTCTGTCATAGATCACCCAACCAGGATGAAGAGATAGACAAAATATTCCATAAGCAGCTGGGAGAAGCCCTTGCTCTCATTGGGGGACTTCAACTTACCAGATGTCCACTGGTACAACAACGCAGCAGAGAGGAGACAGTCCAGGAAGTTCCTGCAGTGTGTGGCAGAGAACTTCCCTGGTGAGGGAGCCAACCAGGGAGTGCCCCACCGGACCTGCTGTTTTGTGAGCAGCTTTGTCAGAGACGTTGAAGGGCTGGAGGGTGTCCAGAGAAGGGAACGGAGCTGGGGAAGGGTCTGGAGCACCAGGAGCAGCTGGTGCTGGCGGGGGCTCAGCCTGGAGAAAAGGAAGCTCAGGGGGGACCTTCTTGCTCTCTCCAGCTCCCTGACAGGAGGGGGGAGCCAGGTGGGGGTTGGGCTCTGCTCCCAGGGAATAAGTAACAGGATGAGAGGAAACAGCCTCAAGGTGTGCCACAGCAGGTCAGGTTGGATATCAGGGAAAATTTCTTCACCAAAAGCGTTATCAAGCATTGCAATGGGCTGCCCAGGGCAGTGGTGGAGCCACCACCTCCAGAGGCTTTTAAAAGATATGTAGATGTAACACTTGAGGACATGGTAGTGTTAGGTTTACTGATTGGACTCTGTGATATTAGAGGTTTTATTCTGACCTAAACAATTCCACAATTCTAACTGAGGTGATGGACAGTCAAACAAGGGGTAGATAAACAAGGGAAGTGACTCTGAGGGAGAACCATGGATGCAAAATGTACATGTATTCAAGGGGAAACTGAACACTTTCATAGAAAAGAAATCCAGTAAGAGTCATTAAGCACACAGATGGCACATGTTTATCAAAGAGACACTCAGCTCCATATGACTGGAGGCTGAGGTGAAGTATCACACAAGCTTCTGCATGCAAATCCTGTGGGCCACTGCCAGAGACAGAACACTCAACCAGGATTTTGGTCTGACCCAGCACACCTGCCCTTGTTTCCTTACAAGTCTGTAGGTACAAAAGGCTTCCAGGCAGCTGTGCGTCCACTGGGAGTGTCTGACACAGCCTGGACATGTAGAAACATCTGTCAGGGAACAGGGGCTGTGAGTACCATCACAGCAACCACAACACCAACAGGGGTGCAGGGCCTACCCATGGTCACATCTCACAGCCACCAACACAAACCACAGCTGTGTCCAAGTGCTGTGCCCCAGAGCCCAACCCAGCAGCACACACTGCATAGGGGAGCCACAGACCTGGAGTCATCCAGAGAGAAGAAAAGCAGGAGAGACTGAAATACGTAGAGACACGTGGGAAAACACGTGGGAACTGCATGTGTGTGCTCTGCAGCACCCAGACATCTGGGTCTCCTGGGTAAATACCCTTGAGTAAAAGTGGAGAGCCAAGACACCTAATACAAAACAACTTTCTCCTCCTTAGCACAGGTTGGAAACTACAAAGGAAAAAAAAAAAGGTAAAACCCAAACTGTGCTACAACCAAAGCAAGTTTGGGGGTGCCCACCTCTCTGAAGAGCGCGCCATAAAACTGAACAATATACGGGCAGTCACTGCTTCGCATCACTACATCAAGGTCCATCAGTAGCTGCTTCTGTTCTTTTTCATCCACTGTCGACCGAATTCTCTGAAAGAGGAAGAGTGGCAGAGACTTCATCACTTACTGTGTCCTCAGCCCTGCTGATGGAGACACATGCCAGGGACCCCAGCCCCAAGCAGAGCAGGCAATCCCCCAGGCATGCTCAAACACACTCCAGAGAATTAAGCTGTGTCCTCAAATAGCAGGTGAATAATGCTGTTTAATCAGACTATAAACCCCTCAGTCCTTGCATGAGCATCAACATTTTCAGATGAAATGTCAGAAGGAAATTAGAGCTGAGATTTCAGCAAAACACCACAGCCAGGCTTTCATTTCAAAACGAATTCCCACACAGTTCTTAGCTACGCTGGTTGGGCCTTGAAGGCTGGTTTGAAATTTAACCAAGGAACACTATGTTTAAAATTTCTAAGTACAGAAGCCAAAAAGGCTCCTTCCACAGCCTCCACCATGGCTGGCACAGAGAGAAGGGACTGTCATGTAACCCAAGGAACACACTGCTCTGGTAATGCTAATGGGGGGCAGCAGTCCGGGAAGCTCTTCTCATCAAACTAATAATTCTTTACCTAGTACTGGCCTAGGGAACATTAACACTACATAAAAGATACTTAATATGTGTATATATATATGTGTGTGTGTGTATATATACACTATATATATACACTATCTATAAAGAGAAGTCTCATTTGGGCTTGAAAGAACAATGCACATTTGAAAATAGAAAACTGTACATGTTCAAACATGAAGCTGGTTAAATGAAGGATGGAGAAGACCATTCACAGTTTTTCATGTGATTTTAAAGATATATTTAACATCTTGCACTAATTTATGTATTCTCTGAATCACAGGTGAGGAAATCGTGATCCTGAAGCTGTGACTCATGTTGAAAGACCATTAAAAAAAAACACTTGGTGACAAGTTCAAAGCAAGAGAAGCAGCCTGGACCCTCCTCGAGGACAAAAACTATGTGGATATCCAAGAAAGAAAAATTATGCAAGGTCGTGGAAAAAATCTGCAAGACACCAGCACCCATTTCACTGATACTATGGCCCCATGGGCAACTGCTGGTGGCATCAGGACCACACACAGCCAGCACAAGGCCAGGTGTATGAAGGTACTTTCAAGGTTGACCATTCATATAGAACCATATGTGAAACAGTGCATGATTATGTACTTTAGGACTATTTTGTGATGGCCCACACAAAATGAGGACAGTATCAACACTAATTTTCCTTACCTTTGGTGTTTCATGATATTTTGGTATTTTAGCACTTGCTCTTAACATTCTAGTAGTTCTAGTTTGGCCTAGACCAGTAATTGCTGTGTTCAGATTGCCCTTTTCCCACCCCATTAATTCTAGAGTTCTTGGGGAAGCTGTCAGGATACCTGCCCAGCAAACACAGTCCATCACATCTACACCCCACAGTGCCATGGGTGGGTGGGACTCTGTGGTCACCAAGAGAGCAAGAACAGGAGCAACGGGTCAGGAATGGAACTGAAAAGCTTCACCTCTAGGTCACTGGTTCAGGTGTGGTTCACACGAGTTCAGACATCACTGAGGAAAGCCAGAGCAGTCTGACTGTTTCCTTGCCATGTGCCCTCAGCACACAAAGCTCTGGGACACCCCGCGCTCGGGAGGCCGAACAGACTGAACGTCCCTCTCCAGGTGACAAACCATCAGCACTGTGTGAAATGAAAATGCCACTGCTCTGACCTCCACAGAAGACGATGGATGCCAAAGCTACTGTGGTGAGACCTATGAGGAATAGTTCAGTCTCTCACTGAGATGTGGCCCACACTGCAAAGGTCACCTTTTTGATGAGGAACAACACCAAAAGGAGCTTTTCTCCATATTGTAACTCAAACGCCCCATTCTGTGCCCACTCCAAAAAGCCTCTTTCCTGATCATCTGGGAGTATCTCCAGCCCTGCTCTGCATTCTCCCTGCACCTGCACAATCCTGTCACAGCCACCCCCACAGTGTCCTCCTCAAACACCACAACTTCCCCTGACAGCATCTTCTCCCACCTCTGACATTCCTTCTCTGTTGTTACTTTTCCAGCTCTGGAAACCATGTGAAATATATACTGGATGGTGGAGGAAATTTTAATGGCACTCCAGAACAACACTGAACCCAAACACTCCTCTTCCCAAACACAATCTCCCCAGGGAGGAGTGGCAGGCAGAGGACCCAGAGCACAGACAGTGGGTCAGCTATATGGCAGAGCTCCAGGCAGACACGGAAGCCAAAGGACACCTTGAGAAGCCAACATGAACACTCCAACAAATATTGCTTCAGGGAGCGAAGGGAATGACATGTACAAGATTGGGAGGTCTCATACAAGAGTGCTGGAGACTGGCAAACTCAAAGGGGAGGACTCTGAGGAGCAGCACAGTGCTGAGCTGGGGTCAGCCCAGGCTGAAAAAATGGCTTTGTTTAGCTGGAGTGTGCCAGGGAGCCTGCTGCAGCCCAGCACTCCCAGTCCACCATGAGGAACCAGCATTCACCAGCAGAACAGAGAAGGAACAGCCAACGGTGAGTGAAGTCAACAGCAGTCACTGGCCAAACATGAGCCACATGAGCCACGAATCAACGTGCTACCAAAATCCAAGGAATGGTGCAAGGTACTGCAGCATCTCCCACAGACAGACTCCCCCAGGAACATGGGACACGGCAGGGAAGGAAGACACAAGGTGAGGCAGCTCCTCGAAGGCAGCATTTGAGACAGGGATGGGCAGGGTCTGACTCAGGCCTTGCACCACTCAGCCTGGTCACTCCTGTGGGCACTCACTGACAAGTCACTGACAAGTGACTTCAGGGCCAAACAAGGTACGGATGGAAAAGAGGGGTTTGTAGTAGAGGCTTATGGAAAGCCTCTTTTTTAACGATTCCTTGTTGACCTCAAATTTAAACTGGATCAAATCTTCCAGGAGAAAATTCTCCAGCGCTTTTAATACAAACACAGGTTAGGACAAAGCCTTCTGACATCAAGAACGAGCTCTGAGCAGCATCAGCAGCAAAAGGATAATCTGTGTTGTGGGTTGTGCCACTCTGGAATCTAAAAACAGATCCCAGAAACCAAACCCAAAACAGAAGAGACACCATCCAGCCCAATTCTCACACAGAAAGATTCAGGTGCAATGGAAAGTGACCAGTTAAAAAAAAAAGAAAAGAAAAAAAGCTATAAACACCAGACTGAAACCCAACTCAAGCTGTGAGACAACCCAGCACTGTCCTGAGCATGGGGCTCACCTGTGTCCTTAGCAGAAAGCTCAGCACAGCAGTGCCTGGCAGTGCTACTGGAGAAGTAGTGCTCCCAGGGGATGGCAACGACTGGGGACACTAAATCAGCAGGAAAAAAGGAGTTTGCCCAGCCACTGCTGAGGATGAGAATATCTGTCTACCCATCTGAAACACATTTAGTGCACACTGAAGTAGATCACAACCAGTTTCCCATCTCCTGTGATGAGGTTCTCACTCTCTCTACCATTTCCTTTTCAACCCTTACTCATTGACCTCCTCCCTCACCAGCAGGGCTGGGAGCACTAGTTTCCCTGACTCTCAGTCAGCAGACCCAAAGAGATGACAAACAGAAAATTCTGAAGGTGTCAATTTGGGAGAGGGCACCGAGTTGTGCAAAGAATGACAATGATGGTTTGCAATAAGGCCCCAAGACACTGTGCTCCTAACAAGAAATGACTCCGTGGCTTCCTGCCTCCTCCAGGAAGACCAGGGACAACCCATGGGTCTGACATCTCTGATTACTCTACTGATCTTGAAAATGCTTTTAATTTTCTTAGGGCAAGTTTAGAGCAGAAGCAGAGCAGGTAAAAACTATTGCTAGACTAAACCAGCAACAATGGCTAAGGACACTGACTGGAACTGCAGGCTGGACTAGACGATATTGCAGAGTGGGACTAAATCAGCTGGGCTGGTTTATAAAACAGACATTGGGAGATAACGAAAACTCTGGCATAGAGATGAAAATCACTTTCTTTTGGAGTGGGGAAAAACTGAACACTGTGGACAAATGCCCTCTTCCCAGCTGTAACCATGTCTGACAGAAACATAATTCAACTAGAGAGAGGTGCAAGATGTTTCCAAGGGGTCGGGATAAGAAACTTGAAGGTCAACCAAAGCACACACCACACTACTCGTCTCCTGGTGATGTATTTCTCAGATAGTTGAACTGGTTGAAAAGAAACTGGCAGAAGCTGCTGGTAGTGAACCCCAGATGTCCCAGGCATTCCCTGCTGCAGGGCAGAAAGGGCTGAGAGGACTGAGGAGGAAGAACAGGTGGTGAAGACCTCCTCCCTGAGCCTGAGGCTCAGGACACTGCTGTGCTAGGGCTCCTGACCTGCACAGGAGCCATCCAACACAGCAAAGCCGGGCTATTCTAAATATTTGCTGATTTATTTTAGGAACTCTTCAAACAAGCAGTTTTCCCAGCCTTCTAGAGGTCTTGTGAAGTACCCTGGCTAACAAAACCCACACCATGTACAGTATTTCAGTGCAAAGCAGAGAATCCTGCTCCAACTGGGAGAATGTTCCCCAGCTTTCATTCTGGTTTGGTCTTTTTTTTTTTATTTATGTACTTTTATATCCATATTCCAAGGATCTTTTAAAGCTCCTTTTTTCGTGTAAACTATCACCAGGGCCAGGAGGAAACCTCGGGGCAGAAATAAACCTCCCAGCGGTGGGCGAGCTTCCCGAGAAAACCATTTCACCCAAATAAAATGCAGCTTCTCTATGGTTCCTCCAACGTGCCTCAGATTTGTGGTACCCTCGTGGAACAAGATGCACAGTCCCTGGAGCAGCTGGGACCACACCACGTGGTGTTGCTGGAGGGCAAATACAAAAGGGGCTGAAGAACTGCACTGACCGTGAAGCCTCTGGGACAAAACCAGAGTGACAGCATTGGAGCAGGTCCTGAGAAGGGACCAGGGCTCTAGAGTGGAGAAGCCCAGGACATTAGTGACAAGTCACTTACAAACTGCCCCAGACTGGGAAAAGCTAACATGAAAACAAGAAACCAGAAGCAAAATTAAAGAATACTGGGTGAAACTGGAAGTGTAACCAGGTAACATCACAGAGAGCTGGTGCCTCTGAGATGGCAGCTGACCCAGAGGAAACAGGGACTGTGCATCTCCAGGGAGATCTGAGAGGAAGGGACCTAATGATTGAGAGGATTGATTTTTATTTGGAAATAAAAATTTGGAAGATTTGAAAAACATTATAATAAAGCACTTTCCAGGGGCAAAAATGAGAAAGGCTTGAACACAAAACCTGTTGAGCTGGATTCTTCTTTCCTCATCCTCTCCCTCTCTTCTTGATGGCCCTAGGAAGAGGCTCTCTGTGGCTGAAAGGGTAAGGGATGCACAAGCAGTTGCAGGTGGCAGCCTCAGGAGCACCAGATCCCTGCTCCTGCAGCCCACTCCAGCCTGTTGCCAAAGAGGTACATAATGTCTTTTTGTCATTGAAAAAGGTATTCACAGAGGGACAGAATGACAAAGGCTTGAAGGAGAGGGACAAGCAGGACTGGGGACAAGAGCTCATCAGCCCAGCCATGCTCCAGCAGCTGAAGCTTTGCTGTAGTGGTTTCAGCCAGCAACACAACGAGGCTCATTTTAGGCTCATTTTCCTCCTTTGCCACTGACTCTGGAGCACAGATGAAAGCTGCCTGACTCATCCAGGGCCTGGCAGCCCTGCTCATGCCAGCAGCAAGACACATTGAAGGTGTCAGGACTGCATCTGCCAGGACCCAGGGGCTGATGGGAGCAAAATGCATAAAGAAGAAAAATGGAAGAAAACGGTGCCTCTGCCTGCAGATCTCAAGTTATTTTGGTGATATTTCAGCACTCAGGAATGATTTTCCTGCAGTGGTAAGAAATACTGCCAGGAAGTGCAGCAAAAAGGCCGCGCTGGGGGGAGTCCTGGGGCACAGAAGCCATGCCCAGCACTGATACCCCACACATCAAGCAGGAGGAAAGCTTCAAGGAATTATTCCTTGTGTAAAGGCATGATAGGCTACAAAAAGCCAGAGGAAGGAGCTGGGAACAGGATTTGAAGGCAACAGTTTTGCTGTCAAGAGACCAGAGGCTTGAGAGAAACAGAGAGAGCGGGAGGGGAACAGCCTTAAACACGGATGGCCTGTAGGGCAGACTGAGATAGAGTAGAGCAGGGAGATTATTGCACAGTCTTGGCTGCCCCAAAAGCAGCAATCTGAGAAAGAAAAGTCTGAGGAGTGTGGGATGAATGAGTCACTACCAAGCTCAGCCCCATCTTGAAACCTCATCTCAAAGACCTGCACCATCCACGCTGGTGAATTGCTGCTGCTGCCTTGGAGACCTCACTGACTGTTCCACCCACAGGTGTTCCTTTGCCCAGTTTCATGTCTTATTCCCACTGGGACAAAGAGAACAGTCTCTTACCTCTACCATTTTAGAAATTATACTGTTGCACAGACCCTCCTACCTTCCTTCCCCAGCAGGTCTAGCCACCCTTGCCCAAGAGAAGTGGGGTCAGAGAAAAGAAGGTGGCACCAGCTCAGCCCACAACTTGGAACAGTTCACAATTTAGTCATTGTAAAACAATCAGGTTTTACTTCTTTTAAAGTGAGTCCCCAAGCCCAGCACCCTCCTGAGGCTCAGAACACCTCTCCTTCTCTGGGAAGGCAGCTCAACATGCTGTGCCATGTCATCTCCAGCCCTGTGCCTCAGGGACACAGCCCTGGTGCCTTCTGCCTCCCAGATGGGAGCTGTACCTCAGCACAGGCCCTTGACACTGCCAACATTCACCTACGATGTTGACAAGTCCTCATGCAAACAGTCTGGAACAAGAGAATCCCTGTGCCAGCAGACACTTCTCCTCCATGACACAAGCTAATCCATCAAAGTGCCCTTCTCCACATGGCTGTACCCACTGCAGGCTCCAGACAGCAGCCACTCAGCTATGGGCATGTGCCTTCCTCATACCCATGGCTACCAGGGGTAGAGTAGTAAAACTACAGGTACCCAGCTCACACACCCTGGGTTTAGGAAGCTGGAGGTGCCCGGGCATTACTTCATTACACAAGCGGTTTTCAACCCATCATCTGCAAACTACACCCATGAGCTCTACCAAAGGCAACTGAAAGAAAAGAGCCTTTAGCTACAGGCAACCTCTAGCTCCACTGGAGACTTTTAGGGATTCAAATCCAGGTTGAAACACCACTGCATGGTGATCCAAAACACTCAAGAGACCTAACCAGTGATCCCACTGCTGTGACAAAGTCAGTATTTACTGGAGAAGATCAAAGGATGAGGGTTACTCCTGACACACTAGAGACAGGTTTCGATATTCACAGCAGCTGGAGCTGGGGCTGAGATAAGTCCGCCTGGCCCCGTGAGACCAGCAGCGGCGAATGTCTCCAGACCAGATCAGGCAGGATTCCAAAGAAGACAGAGAGAGTTGGAAAAGACAGCAACAGAGACTCCTACATAGCTCACTTCTGCTCTTTCCTGGGAGCCATGAGTGCACTTATAGTTGATCTTACTGACAGAGTTAAAGATGAATGTCATCTGCCACCTGCAATGAGCAAGGGAAAGGACCAGAGAGAGAGAGAACGGGCGCTGCCCTCCTCCATGGACAAGTAGATCCTCAAGGATGTCCATTGAGCAGCCCCGCTGTGGCAAGATGGAATACTCTGTACTGTCCAGCTGGGAGAGGAGGCTGAGTATTGTTTCTGGGTTTAAGGTGAGTTTTTGGGTAGCATAAAGTAGAAAATAGACAGTCCAAAAAACTGCTACACTTTCCATCTCTGGAACAGGTTAAGCACAAAGCAGACATACATCAGCAAGAGCACAACACTCCCTAGAAGACATCCACTCCATTCCAGTTCCTCCTGGTGAGGCCACACCATGGCACATGCTGACTTAAAGAGCTAATTTTAAGTCTCTACTTTAGTTCACAAAAGACACCAAGAAGCTGTGAGATGTCAAGGTGTGTCTCCCACCAGCCTAGGCTGTACCTGAACCAGTGACCCAGAGGTGAAAGGCCCATGCCCCATCATCAGTCTCCAGAGATGTGATCCCCTCAGAACAGCAGGTTCCTGATAGACATTTTCAAAAGGGCACAGCAATTATGAGAACATCACAAATCACTTGAAAACATGCCCATTATACACTGTATTTTCAGCAAACAGTAGCCTTTACACCAGAAATAAATAGAACAGAGCAGTAGATGGGTGCTAGATGGAAGAACCCTAATTCTCCATCACACAGCATCCCAACGGACTAAAGTACAAATGTAAGGATGGGCATCACCTACTTTAACTGCCATAATTTGCCCACTTGGTTTGTGGACCATTTTGTTGACAGAACCATAAGCGCCTCGTCCAATTTCTCCAAGGTCTTTCAAGTCCTCTGCTGTAAAATCCCAATGTTGTTCAGGGGAAATCTTCAATTTTCCTGATGATTCAATGCTGTGTGTTCTCAGTCTCTCTCTGTCAAAAATATTGGGAAGCAATTTTTCCACATTTTAAATATTCCGTAAATGTCTCTTTTCAGCACTTGTTTAAACATTAGAAGAGGGGTTCACAAAGCTACAGCAACAATCTGACTCCACGAAGGATTTTGGTTGGGGAGAGGGGTAGGGGGGTGAGGGGAAAATGTTAAATCAAAAATGACATACACACTTGCCCACAGCTTCAATTAAGGATAAGTTTCTCCAGCTGTGGCATAAAATTCAATGTGTCTCATAGAGTCATTCTAAGCACTCATTTACACAAAATGCATCAGGCTGAGGGCAGGATCTGGGAACATGCAGCACCAAGAGCCTGAAGAGCAATCCCAGCCCCATCTCCCCAAAGCTCCTGCTGCTCTACCACCACATCCCGGCACCTGCCTCCCTTCCAGCTGGGATTCTATCGAACACAGGCAAAGCTCTTCTGGGTGACCCAGGGAGACTTCAGAAAAAGTTTGCCCTTAATGCAAAATGGCAATTAAAAAAGATAACTCAAAAAACCTCCAATCCTAATACATTCAGGTAATCATTTAATTTATTCAAAACCAAAGAGAGAGCCAATAATTTATAAAAAGCAAGACAAGTTCTTTGTGACATATGAAAACAAAAACTGCCTGTTCAAGTGTGTCTTTACCAAACACCTAAATTAACTTTCTCAGGCAAACCCTGCTCGTACTGAAGCCACCAGAATTTCCCTAGGTAAGGAGCAGACCAATGTCCAAAATGTGTGAACAGAGGAGGTCAGAGATTGTTTGAAGGTGCTCCTAATGGCTTGTTTAAATGCATCAATGCTATCACTGAATTAGGAGGAAATGCACAAGTGTTTGCAACGCTTTTCATCTTAAAATGCTATGCAAAATTTCAGGTTTTCATTAATTAATTAGCTGAGTCACACTTCTTGGGTCATAAAGTAAGCCAAAGCCCCACGTTTCAAGATGCATCAAGAGCATTGCAGAGAGTTCCCACTGCAGGGCACACGGATCTCACAGGGACTGTAAAGCATACGGGTACTTGTGCCTGCCCTGTGTACAGGGCAGATCTGTCAAACTCATCTCTCAGACTGATCACTTCACTTGGGCATTTGATCCAGCCCCCACTTGCCTGGCCAGCGTCCAGCCCCACGAGCAGAATAATGGATCCAACAAAACACATGGAGCTTATCGAGTTTATCAGCCAAGGAACAACCAGGTCATGGCTGATTCCACACTGATAAATCCCATGTTGGCCACCAGCAGCTGCAAACACCACCCAGCTGGGTGTCATGGGGGACCCAACTGTGACCTCCACTGGGTTTGGTTTGGATGCTGGGCTTTGCAAGGGCGAAAGGCCAACTGACCGGTTCAAATGGCTTCATGTGCTGCCTTCCAGCCTCTCCTGTGCTGCTCTGGGTTAGTGCTGCCTGGGTCTGAAGTAGCTGCATGTCCAGAACCCTTGACCCATTTGATTAAAGCCTTGGGGAGCAGCTCCTCTCCCCACTTCTGGGCTGTGTCTGCCCTGTTGTTTCTTGCTCTCTAACCTGCCCAGCTCAAGATTTTCAATCTGCTGCTCTCTACAGTGTCCCTACACTGCACTTAGGAAAAATTCAGGAAACCTCCTAAGAGTGCTACAACAAAGCACAGGGGGGATGAACACACCTATCTCAGAGCTCCTGTGCATAATAAACACTGCATTGAATGGGGTTCTCCGTGGAAGTTGCTTACTAGAAAGCAAGGAATGAAAATAAGGCAGCAAAATGTCAAAAAGAACAGAGGAAAAAAGAAAAGAAAAAAAAAAAATGAAAAGAAACATGACCTCCACACGTGCCAAGTGTCTCACAGGCAGCTTCTGAACAGGTTACTGTCTAACTGCTCCACCATCCTGTTTTGTCAGTGCCATAAAAATAGTTTTGGTTTTGAGGGAGGAAGGGAGGTGAGAAGCACCAGTCGAAGAGGCACTGGTGAACTGGCATTTCCTGCCTCACCTCCAGCCAGCTGGTGGGCACGAAGGAGCACAACCACTGAGAGCTAAGCCCTCTTCAAAAAGAGGAAAAACAGCAGAGAGGTGACATTTAACAGAGTTGAGTTTTGATTTTCTGAGCAAAACCTTTCCAGATCTTCTTTGAAAACACTTCATACCAAAGCTCTCACGGAATTAAGAAATTTAAACATTGATGTAGTTTATTCAAATAAAGCAATTAAATCCTTCTCCATTCTTCCCTCTGTTTTTCTGCCCAGGAAACTTTGCTTTTCTGATGCTCCATCAGAAGAGAAAGCAATTTGGAATTCATTAATTCCATCACACAAGCAGCCTGTGTGTCCCCAGCTGTGTGTGAAAGCCGAGTTGTGTCATTGTTGGGCAGCTGAGGGATGTGGCTCAAGCTGCCGGGAAGAAGGTGGGAGCTGGGAATAACCCCCTGTTGGGGCCGCACCAAGGGCTCTGCAGCTCTCCAGGGGTTTGGATCCAGCTGTACTGCCACCATCCACCCCCAAACCCTTCCATCTCGGAGTTTGGCTTCATTTCCATTACGTATTTATGATGCCATCTGCCCTGTCTCGCAACCACAGCTCCTGCTTAGCTTTTCTCAAATACCCAGGGAAATGGTCAAATAAGCAAATGAAAAGTTTGACAGAGTGACAGACACTTGAATAGAGATTTTGCTCATTTAGCTCATTTGCCACATGTAAGCAGGAATCATAAATGGAATGCAATGATTGCCTTTAATGTCAAAAAACTACACTTGATATCAAGAATTTTTCAGTGTAAATCAAAATCCAAATGGATTGCCATGCCAAGAAAGCAGCTCAAAAATGCAAATCTAGAATACAGACTCTGCATTGATCTAAATTGGGAGTTTTCTGATGTAAATCTGAGGCAATAAAAACAACTAAATCACCAGTGCAGAACATCTATTCCTAAGTTTGCACTGCTGCAGATGGATGAGGACATAAATCCACGGGGTGGACATGCCTCCAAACACAGAAAAGCTGCCTAAGCCCTGCACTACATTCTGGTGCTCTGGATACTACAGCAGCCGGCTTCAGAGAATAGCAGGGCAACCACACAGTGTCTAGTGAAGGCAAAAAGTAATTAGTGCCAGTCTGTGATTAAGTGCACATCAGAGTTTGCACAGATGGGAGCAGACATGTGCTTCCCCTTACCATTTCATTTTTCAGCTGTGCAGCCCAACCTTCTCTCTTCTCTAAGGCTGGGAATGTTGAGCAAAATTGGATATATATTCTCTAAATGCTCAGGACGTGCAAGATGAACTTGTGGGGATTTATATATGATTTTAAAAAATAATATAAATAGCTAAAGTGGGCTAGATACTCCTCAAACAGTTAAAAGTAGCATTTCCAAATGCATCTTAGTGACTACAGCTCCTGACGACTTGTCCAGGACTCCTCATCTTGGTTTTGAAAATTTTTAAAAGGCAAGAAGAAAAAAAAGGGGCTGAGGAGGTGGTTGTGCTCCCTGCACTTGAAAGGCACCAATGTGTCAGTCTCACTGCAGATAGTTACTATGCTTGTCACAGCAGTTACTCCAGGGATTAGGAGCACCAAGCAGGACAACAACTCCTCCAAACAGCTGCCCTTTGTCAGAGCTGACTCTGTGGGCCCAGCCTGGCAGGAGACGGGCTCTGGCACCAGACACGGCTGCCGGGCTGGGACGGGGCACCAGGCTGAGAGCTGAACCTGCACAGGAAGACCCACCAGGGCTAGAGACCCCCCCAGTCACCTTGGGAAGCTCCCAGACAGGCTGTGTTAGTTCCCTGAGCTCTGCTGTTAACATCCAACTGCAGGGAGGCCAAAACTTTTAAAAACAAGCACTTCCTTGGGCATGAAAAAGAAGGACCATTGGGAGAAGCAGAGAAAAGTTGGTGGGTTGTTTCAAACTAAACTGGAAGTCATCAGACATGAAGCAAGGTCAGAAAGATGCTGTATGTAGCTACATATATCCTCTTTTCTTCACTTTGTTGAGAGCTCTGCAGGACTCAAAGCAGCCCAAAAGTTGACATATTCAATGTTACAGCTGACATGAATAAAATCTGCAGAGGCAAAAAGATCCAAGCAAACCACTGTGCCTCCCAAGCCAGCCTGCTGCTGGATTCTGCTCAGAAGTCTCTCATTAAAGCTCCTACTTACACTACAGTTAATGAGAATATATTCTACTTCTCTACAAGTTTGGTAAAAAAGCTGCTCGACACAACGGCATTTTAAAAACAGATTTGTGGTCCATCAGCCAAAGCTGAAGTGTAAATCCTAACAAAAAAGCTTCCAGGCAAACTGCAGGGTGTGAACGATACTGTGCACTGTCCATAACTTCAGACTACAAACATGCCTTAGGACTGGGGCTGACAGTCCCTACCAAGACTTTCCAACAGCCTGGAGAAGTCCTGGAGAACTGTGATTCTTCTATCTCAATGTCTGTGTCACTTCTAACACAGTTTTCAGATCCTGCAGGCTATTGCTAACACAGTATCAACCCTAGTTTAACTTTCACTGGAGAAAGTCTCCAGAAGAAATGTTTTTCTTTTTTTTTTCTGAGGGCTGGAAATGTCGGTGCTCTCACAAATCTCTTAGATTCTCAAGAAAAGAAATTTTTGCTTCTGATAAGCAAAGAGCATCCTTGCAAGAGGGATAGAACCAATTTGGGTTTGCTTTGACCCACGTAAGCTATCCTGAGGCTTTGCTATATTCAACAGCAGATTATTAGACATAAAGAAGAGATACAGGAAATGTGGCAAAGGAAGAAAATAGTTTTCCACCTCTGACTTACTCAGATTAAAGCAAAGCAAACTTGCTCCCTTTCCTTGTGACCAGGAGGTTGAAATTCTCCCTAGCACTGCCCTTGCTTTTTATGCTTCTCCAAAACTTTAAAATAAAGATAATAACAAGATGTGGAAGTTGCACAGCCCTTCCACAGCCCCCATGTCTCAGCCCAGCACATGTTCAAGGCTGCAAAGAATCTCTCTGACTTCAACGGAGCTTGGCTGAGGCTTTTAAAATGTCAACATTTTGTATTAAGCTCCCCTAGTAAAGTACTGAGTTACAAAGAATTTTGAATAACCCTGCTCTTGACACGGAGGAGACCTCTCCTCTCATCATGGTGGACCCTGCGCTGAATTTCACTGGACACATTGATCCCAAACTCGCTCTGCAGTGCTGGCTCGTGGCCAAGGTAGCACAGTCATTGACCCCGCCACGGCCAGGAGCTCAAGGCTTACACTGCATTCGAGAATTTCAGGATAATACTGGAAAACCCTGAGCTAATTAATTAAACAACCCTTCTGAAACGCTGACTCTCTTTCTGAACCATTCCCTCTCCTGGGCCATGGGCAGCTCCTTGAGAGAGAACAACAAACAGAAGCATGAGCACAGCCATAAGAATCAACAAAAGGACTCGAGCACACTATAAATAGTTTGCAAAATGATACTGAGATGCAAAATCATTATTATTACACAGCAATCACCTAACAGAATGACACTATTTCTGAGACAATTCCATGACTTTGGGAGATGCCATTTTTGCAGGATGGAAAGATTTGACAATGGCTAACAGACAAGGAAGCTTACTGTAGCCTGCTGGACAGTTTCTGGATGAGGTCCGCTTCTCTCCTTTTGAAACTGAACGGGGCAATGTGATTAATACCCAGGGTTGCTTGTGTGTCACTTCAGCCAGGAAAAGTTGCAGAAATGACAGGAAAACATGGTGCTGTTATCACATGACACAATAACATACAACACAATACTCAGCTTGCCACTGCCCTCCAAGCGCTTGGCATCACAAATTAATGAGCTGTACCATTTTTCTTCCAATGTTCACCTAAGCAACCTCCCCTTCTACGGAGCAAAGCAGCACCTGATGATTTGAAATCATTTTAACATATTAAGTCATAAGCAATTTGTTTCTTTACAGCAATGGCAATTATCATTTCCAACTGTATTATTACTGTGATTAGAAACATGCATTAGCTTATTAGCCAAATACCTGTATTTTAGTGACATGCTGCTTCCTCAAGGCACATTGGTCACCTCTGCTCTGCATTTCTTGAACTCTCTAAAGCAGAACTTGCTGACAATTATTTTTCTTAAATAAAAAGGGGGGGGGAGGGAAATCAAGCTTCCATCCTGAATCCACCAATCTAGGACTGGTGGTCTCTCCCAAGAGGGCTTGCCATTCATCAGATCCCCTCTCCCAAATAAGTCTGGATGACTTGAACAACTACATCCTTACTTATTCCCCCCAGAGCCCAACAACTGACAAGGTTAATCACCATTCTGCACTACAGGACTTCTCTAGGAACAATAACTGGGTTCTGGATCTCTTAGTCCCTCAAGTTCTGGAAATCTTTCCCAACATGAGGACCTGTTACCTCAGAGCACTTCAAGGAGCTCAGGAGAGATGGGTTTCTGCTAAGCCCTGTGTGCAGAGCAAGCCCTGGAGCATTTGTACCAATGACCACTGACCACTGCAGCCGTGGACAGTCAGTCACAGGAAACCAGGGGCTACACTCAGCTCCTGGTGGGAACCACCTGAGAGGGGTAGATTCCAAGCACTGCTAATTCAACTACAAGAAATGGTTTGGCTTCAAACCCTCTTAACAAGTGATTTTTCTAATATAAACTTCCATAGGTCACAAAATTCCAATCCTAGTCAGGGAAAATCCAACATTTCCTTTGGGATTTATTTTCTACTTGGAATTTTAAAAAAAACACAGCCCAACAAAATCCCACAAACTTTGGGTTGCGTCACAGCCCGAAATAACCTGAAATTCAGAGCCAAGAATACACCTGGCCACGTATTTCTTTCTATGGCAGACAAGGACAGATGGGAGACACAGAAACCACCTGACTGCAAGACGGAGATCGCTTTTTCAGAGACACTGCCATCTTCAACATGGTGACCGAAAGAGAGTTCGTGAAAAGACCAAGTAGACCAAATTTGAGTTGTACTTTTAAAGTGTCCCTTCTCTAAGACATAAGACTCATGCAGGTCAGAGAAAGCAGTTGCCTAGTGAAGGGTCCCAGGCTCCAGTAGCGTGGTGAGATTTTCCATGTTGGTCTCCTCTGAGACAGCTGGGTGGGACACAGTGCTCTCCATCGACCCTCCAGAGCGAGAGATGCTTTGCTGTAAGCTCTGTGAGGATGTTTACAGAGAACTAAGGGTGTTGAGCGGAGTTAGGCCAATGTTCTCAGGGAAGCTTCTTTCTCATCTTTCACTGGTATGAAAGAACATGAGAGAAAACAACCCAATATAGCGAAGTCCCCATGGCTCCTCAGAGAGGACAACCACCTTTACACTGCTGGAGCAAGAGATACCAGGAACAACCAATTCCAACTGATCCACACTTGTCTCTGCAAAGGCATCAGTTGTGCTGAGCTTGAAGGACCAATTGCTCCTCTGTATTTATTCCAAGCTTATCTTAGAAAGGAGGGAATTAAAACAGGCTCAACAAAGAAGACTGTTCAAGGTCATCATAATCCAATGTAGACCGGCTTGGCCATTTAGGTTGAGGTTAGATAATTGGAAAATTACCCTCTTCCCCCAGAGGGTGCTTGGGCACTGAACAGGCTCCCCAGGGCACTGGGCACAGCACCAAGGCTGACAGAGTTCCAGGAGTGTTTGGACAACACTATCAGGGACATGGTGGGATTGTTGGGGTGCCCTGTGCAGGACCAGGAGTGGGACTGGATGATCCTGATAGGTCCCTTCCAACTCTGTATATTCTATGATTCTCAGCTCTTTCTTTACTGAGGTCTCCCAAAATGGATGTTCTTGCCTCATATCATGAAGGCCTCTCCAAGAATGTCAAGGATGATGTCTATGGTTTTCACAGACAGAATACACCACAAACCCAGAAAATTTAAGTCCTTTTCAGAAGTCTGTTCCTCAAACAAGCAGAATAGCAAAAACAATTCAGCCTTGCAGGCCAAGTCCCGTGTCCATTACATTCCATCCAGGCCACCACAATGTCCTTTCCATGAGCACTCTGTAGAGCAGCTGATTTTCCTGGGTGCATCCTGTCCACTCAGGTCAGATGTCCTCCATAGCACACGCTGGAAGTCGCTCATTTGTGCAAAGGATGAGAACAGAAGTTGTCAACAATGACCTGCGGGGTCAAAGCAGTCTCTGAATCTGTAGACTATCCTCTCTTTATTCTCCATTCCTCACCATGTACAGAAGACAAAAGCAGTGACTGATTCCTTCAGTTTGAACCCACAAAGCAGAAGAGTTGGCTCACTTCTCCAAAGCCAGGGAAAACAAAAGATATTTTACTATGAGTTGGTGATTAAAGTCCAAAGAGATAAAGGAAGTGCTTCTGCTCTGATGAAACGCGGTGAGGTCCCAAATACAAGTACAGAGTAGCAATGGGTAGTCTATTCCTAGAGCTGGCAACGGCAGCCGTTTGTTGAGGTTTCCTGCAGGAATATGGTTTGCAAGGTTCACATCTGGACCCAGAGGGTTCGAGTCCAATCACAGATACGAATTGTGGTGGTCCATACATAAAATCTGTTCTGATATTCTGTATGCCACATAATCAAAAAAAAAAGTCTGTGCCTGACACAGATTAACTGGAGTCCAACAGTCACAGCGACAGCCCTTCAGGGTCAGAACCCAGCTCCACCACCTGCACAACACTGCAGAGACACACAGGCACCAAGCTCAGCCCCACGCTTAAGCCATGTCCTACTTTGCTACTTATAAATAATTACTGAACAATACATTTATCCAAAAAAAAGGGTAGAGACCAAACCTCTGTGTGCACACAGATATATTTATACACATATATTCAGAGATGTTAAATATAATTATCTGCTTCATCCCATTTTCTTCTCCAAACACCAGCAGGTTTTGCGTATGAAGTCAGCAGTTCCTGAATTTGCCCAAGGAGGAGGAGGAAACACTGGGATATGGGCTCTCTTCAGCCTCAGGGCTTCATCCATGCCCCAGGACACCAGTCCCTAAGACACACAGGATGGGAGGGTAGGACATCTGTTGTTCCATTGATCTTGGATTGAAAAAAAAGCTCAGAAAGCAGATTTATGGGGTAGAAGAAGAAAAACTACAGACCAGCAAGAGGGCAGTCCATGCTCTCAGATGGTTTATAAAGATGAGCAACAGCATCTCTGCTTCCTGGATACATTTTAGTGGCAATCAGTTCTGTCTGATGGGTTTTCAGAGCTTGGCTTATGAACTGGTAAGCTCAGATACTGGGATGCTCAGTGTTCCCTCTTAGGCAGGACAGCTCAAAGGATCCCTGGGGCACCCTGGGATGCAGGAGGAAACACAGGAGGTGCCATGAGATCATTTTGATCAAAAAGCTCAAGTCCCAAAAGCTCATGGCAGGAGGGAGGAAGGGAGAAATTTTGGCAACTTCCAGTTGCCAAATGGAATTCTGGATTCTCACCTGTACTTCTTAATCATGAAAACTTACTGGTGAATGTAGACAATCACACCATTTGAAGGCTCAGAGATGGCAACACATCTCACCTTCTCCATGAAGTACGAAATGCAAGTTTTAGAATAGCTTACAGAATTTACCAAATAAAATGGTAAAGGACAGATAAATGGGTCTTACAATATTCTGAAAATACATCAACAGATTCAGACGTTATTGAAAAGTCCAAAATGAATGGAGCTGTGGTCTTCCACTTTCTCACCAACCCTCCAGAGAAGCCTGGGGTATTTTGGTGTCCTGAATGCCTCGAAAGTCTCCACAGACCAAGACTTACAACCAGTTTGCATCTGAGCATGTACATAGCTGTCCTTGCTAGAGGATGCAGCACCTCAAAAGAAAAGAAAGGAAAGGAAAGAGAGAAAATTTTGCTTCTGTTACACAACAGTATGAAGGGAAGAGAAGAGCTGATACCAGCTCTGAAACTATTCAACCTACTTTCCCTGCTCCCAGACAAGCACTGCAGCAGTTACACCATGGGGGGAGTGACACAGCTGTGCCAGGCCCAGGTACGTCCTCCAGTGTGTGAGGAGGAGCTGCAGCTCAGGAGTGCCCAGGGTCTGCTCACAGGACCAGGACAGCTCTGCTCCTGCCACACCCAGAGCTCCCCTGGAACCATCGGGACACAACCCGTGGAATTACATAAACCCAAAATTCTTAAACCAAACCAAACCCTCCACAGCCCAAACCCCTGAACTGCTTTCAAACAAAGGCAGCATCATCCCCCATCTCAGACACAGCAAGGCCACTGGGGGGAAGTTCCAACTCTCCATGGTCAGGACGACAGACTTTCCTAAATCATCTTCCTCAGCAGAGCACAGAATGTATTATCAAAGCACTGACCTCACGTTCAGGTTTATAAACCTGGGCTTTTGGAACCAAACTGACTAACCAAGAAAAATGGTCAACCCCTGGCTCTCCTCCAGGCTCTGGAGCATGACAGGTATCCCCAAAGCAGCAACTTAGTCCTGCACAGGCTGCAGACACCAGGCTTTTGCCAGGAGCATGGATGGAGTCAAGGATGGTTCCTCTTATGTGTCTCAGGGAAGGATCTGGCCAACCACGGGTCACCCATGGAGCCACACTACCAGATAAAGGGGAGGCAACACAACTCACCAAAAGTCAGGCATGGCAAGGAAAGTTTATAGGACACTTCTATCCAAGGGAGACATCCCCAGCTTTGCTCTTCTGTCCAGCCTCTCTGTCCCATCAGGCAGCCACATTGATGCAGACTTCATGGTGAATGAAGTCAAGTTCAGTTTGAAAATTAACATTTCCACCTCATTGCTCTACGTTTCCCATTTTCACCACTCCAGAATGCTTCACCTCCCTTCACATCATTCAACTCAGTAGAAAAATCTAGTAGTCAACTCAAAATCACTGCTCTTCAGGGACTCACCCCAGACACCACCTTAGTGTCTCTGGAAGAGGAAGACTGGAGACAACGCTGCTAAAAATACCTTCACAGGTAACACAGCTCTGTCACTACCCCGTCCCACCTTCCCTTGCCCAACGTGCCCTGAGGAAGCAGCACCAAGACCAGTCACCACGCCCTGAATGGGGAGGTGCAGCAGGGCCGTGCTTGGTGTGTCACACACCCATGTCCCAGTGCAGTGGCCAAGGACAGCTTGGCCCACAGGGACGGGGGGCCCGGGTGGCTCTGGGCAGGTGCAGAAGCCTCCAGCCTATCCCACCCTGGATAACCCCCCTGCCACCACAGCTCCCAGCTGCTGTCCCTGCCTGGGCAGGACAGGCCAGGTCTCAGTGCTTTGGAAGGTGACTGACTGGAAGGTGACTGAAGGGAGGGTCAAGGCTGAGAGGTCCCAATGCAGCTCCCAAACAAGCAGCTCTGCCCATGGCTGTGTGTGCAGTGAGAACCACGACAGCAGCTCCCAACGTGCCAGTGGTGGGACAGGTCACACAGACCACCAGACATCCCTGTTAACTCCCTGCCCTGTCACAAACTGCTGGCCTAACCTTCACCTCTTCCAAATGACAGCATGTCCCAGCTTCCCAGCTGCAGAATGGGGAACAGAGATTTGTGCAACCATTTAGGATTACAAAGCTAAATCATTCAGCATGGGTGAAGCACTCAGAACCCACGGGAGCCAGGTCATACATAACATCAGGCTGGATTTGATTTAGACACCCAAGGGTACGTGATTAGATTCCAGAAGTTCTGGGGAGCCCATGTCCCAGTAGTGTGGCAGGAAGGCAGGTGCTCAGCACCCTTGAAAAATCCATGTGAATTAGCTGAATGGAGACACATGAGGTCCAAATTTTGGTTCCAGATATGGAAGGCCTAAAGCCAGAAGCAGAGCACCGAGATATCAAACCCTCACAAAAGAAAAGAACAGTCCTACCAGGGCAGTGAAGCTCTAAAGGATGTGGAAGCTGATAGAGAAATTTATTTTGGAAGCAGCAGACAGCAAAAAGCTCCTCTGCAGAGAGGATATGCACCTAAGAAACACCAAAACTTACAAAGTTTAAGAAAAAAAAAAAGACCTTAATGTAGCACATTGAAATCTCACACTGACTCTGGCAGCACCTCCTCTGATGCGGTGATCTCCTGGAAGCCTGAGATATGGAATTTGGGTATTTTACAGGCCACATCACCTCTTTGTCCTCTAGGCCTCAGAGATTACTGGCCAAACAAATTTGTAAACTTTTGGGAAAAAAAAAAAAAGTAAAATACAAGGAAAAGTTCATAAATTTGTCAAAAATGCTCCTGAAAAAACTGCAGAAGAAACATTGTTCCAGCACTGAACCAACAGTGATGTTTGTATGAAAAATGAAAGCCTGGTTACCACAGGCTCCTTCAAACACTGAAATGTCTTTGCTAAGCCCTTGGAGGTTCCATTCTACTTGTGCTGACTTGAAAATACAGCTGATTACATTCAGAGACTGCAACTTTCAGGAAATGTAACAGATCAGTCACAGAAAAAAATCAAATTCTTGGTACTTTTGACCCTGAATCCTGCCTCCAAGGCTTCCAATCAGCACCCTCTGCCATGGGAAGGCAGCACGTGGCAGAGAGGTAACAGAAATCAGTGACAACAAAGATGTGAAATGACAGTGATAGAAATGGGGAAGAGACAGGAAATATTTACAGGAAAATTCACACTAG